CGGCCACCCCTGTTCCAGGTTCTGATGTCAAAAACTCTTGAGAATAAACACGTATCGTCGCTGCGAGGAAACAGTGCTAGAAGTTACGGCGGCAGCAGCAGTGATGCCACCCCCGACGGAGGCTACGGGTGGACAAAGGGTTGCACAAGGTGCGCCTTGCCGGTGTGTTGGAAAGTTCAACAACGCGGTGCACAACTGTTCTGGAGACATGTTTTCCCACGGGGACTGTGGATGCCAATGGTGGACGCACAGAGTGGACGGGCGAGCGGAGGGGAGGATTTGATGTTATTCGCTCGCTTGATTTCGCCTTTTAGTCCATTTTTTACCGTTAACCCCGCACTCTATCTTCCTGGCTGAGCGTGCCATTCCCTCCATATTCAAAACTTGGCTCTGTCGCAAGGGTTCGAGGTCTTGCTCTTGTCACTTCTGCCGTGAAACTCTCCGACCAATCCCGACATTTTATCTGGAATCGACGACACTGACGCCCCCTCTTTAACGGGCACGGGAAAGAGCAGCGATGGTGACGACGGCACACCCCGCGGCGGAGATCGGAAGGAGGAAGGAAAGAGCGGAGCTAGCAAGCGCAGCCTCGAGTGGTTTTTCGGGTGGCTGGAAGGGGAGGGGCGAGACTCCGCCGCGCTCTGGCGAGAGGTGGCCGACCTTGTCGTGAAGACGCTCATCACGGCACAGCCCTCGCTCGAAAGGGCGTACTGCGCGTGCTTCTGCGGGGAGGTTCGGGAAGGTTGGTCGAGCAGTTTTGCGGAGTGTGTCTCACGCATAAAAGGACCACTCGGCAACGTTCAGCGTCAAAACATCTGATCATCCTGTTTCACATCCGAAACGATTTACCGCTGCGCCCTTCATGGAGAGCCGATAGAGCAAGAACCAGGACTTTAGTCTGCTCCGATGAAATGATAAACTACAGGCAACCACCCTCGAATCTCAGCAGGGGCGAAGCCAAAGCAGGAGAGAGGCAGACAGCAGCAGCAGCAGCGGCAGCAGCAACAACAGCCGCAACAACAGGGCGAGGAGGAGCGAAGTAACAGTAGTCGCTGCTTCGAGCTGCTGGGGTACGATGTGCTCGTCGACGAAGACCTCCGCCCTTGGCTACTCGAGGTCAACCACTCTCCGAGCTTCAAGTGCGAGACTCCGCTGGACTCCAGGTGGGATCGATCAGCTTCAACTGCGATCGGTACAAGAAAGAAAGAGTCTGTCGTAGCGGCTTGGAACGGGCACAGACAACAAGAACATGGCACGTGGCATGCCCTCTTAGCAACATCAAACGAGAAGCCTCTCCGCCCCCCTCATTTTCCGGGAGGAGGGGAGCGCTTCGTGTCGTTTCCTAGGAATCTCAAACGAAGACAACAATGCCAACAACAGCAGAACACGTAGCAGCGACAACAAGCAATACGCCACGTCAGTAGCCATCCCCCCTGTTCCTCTCTCTACTCGCGTATGCTCCATCAAGGTGTCGACCGAATCGAATCGAATCCGCCTCAAACCGCGTTCCCTACTGCTTACAGCGTCAAGCGAGAAGTGATCTCCGATACGATGAGGGTGATCGACGTCCTGCCAGGAGGCTGCCGCAGGCACAAGGCGCAGGAGGCCGCGAGGTCAAAACGCCGCCTATACGGTAGCGCCGGCGGGAGCGCTAGCCCGGCAAGGTCGGCCGGCGGCCTCAGCGTGTGCGGCGACTTCAGCACGTGCGACGTCAACGATCATCACATCGACAACGACAACACCAGTGACAGGTACAACCACAGCGCAGACGAGAGAAGAAGCGCTGCGAGCGATACCGGCAGCAGCCGCTGCGGCATGAGTGGCGGGTTCGAGCTGGTTTATCCGCCCCCGCGGGGGAAGGAGTCACCACGCGGTCAGTCGTTTGCCCGGTTCTTGCGGTCGTCCCAGGCCCTGCTGGATCGCGCCACCGGGGCGGCAACGCCCCTCGCGCCGGAGTGGAAACCCCACCGCGGGAACGGTCGCCGTTCGTGGAGGATGGACCCAGAAAGCAACGCGGCGGGGAATGACGGGAACTGCCCGATTGAGGCGATCACGCCAACATGGACAGAGGGGAAGGAGGACAGGAAGGGGGAAGAGGCGGTCATCGGTGCTATGGGGCAAGAGAAGGTTGAGAAAACGGCCAGTGGCAGAAGGTCGAGGAGGTGGGGGGTTTTCGACGAAGCTCAATCCGTCAGGAAGATGTCGACGGGTCGGGCGCTTCACTGCTCCGCAACAATGGTTGGAGACGCTGCCGCCGTCGGTGCTGCCTCGTCGGCGAGGACGCCCGAGAGATTACAATCGCCGGGAGGACGGAAGCAACGGCGACCAACCGATGAGCATCACCATTCGCATCGTCCTCATCTTGTCGCTCACTCCCCCGGCCAGCGGAGGGAGCTGCAGCAATACTACCAAGAGCCACGACCTCCACACCATGTGGCACATCGACGGCCAACATCGGGAATAGCCCGGTGTGCAACAAACGACTCTCCTGCCGCCGGCACGACCGAAGGGCGGCGCGAGCAACAAGGTCTGCGACGAAAGCACACGATGCGCCTTCTGAGCTCCAACGCGGCTGAATGCGCGGAAGGCCTGGACTCCGGCCGCGGTAGTAGCAGCAGTAGCAGCGGTTGCAGCAGCAGCAGCAGCGCACACGGGGAGTACGTGACCGCTCCGCGGCCAACACGGAAGATAACATGTGTCCTCGAGACAGGCGGGAACCCCCGACGGCACGAAGCGGTAACAGTAAAAAAGACAGCCAGGCAGAAACGCCGAGCAGCCACGGCGCGAACTGCAAGGACGGCCGAGCTCCAGGAAACAGCGACTGTTCGAGCCTCAGCAACAAGGACACCACCAACAAGAACAATAAGAACAGCTACATGTAGAGCGGCTAGAACAATAACGACAGCGGGGGCGGTGAATATCACTGACGAGTCGTCGTCGCTATCGGCGGGCGGTAGCAAGCGGGGTTTGCATCGCTGTGACGCCGGGATGCTACAGGGCGTGACACTTGGGGCGCTCGCAAGCGACACCATGAGGGGTTTGGACTTTTTCTCCCGCCGAATCGACGGCAAATGGACAACGACAGGAACCAATAACGAAGCCCCCTTTCCCGTCGACGAGGGCAACAGCAAGCCCTCCGCCAGGCCGCGGGTATTCGGCGATTTCAGCACGACTGCTGCCGCCGCCGCCGCCGCCGCCGCCGCCGCGGATATTGAGATCGACGAGCACAGCGACGGTAGCGGCGGTGGAGAAGGGCGAAGAGGAGTCACCCCCGTCCTCGATAACCCTCATCGGGTCCGCACCTCGCCTTGGATCAGTGTCGCCGCGCGTTCAAGGCTGTCCACTGCGACGCCGGCGGGGGCGGGAGCGGCGGCCAATCGAAATTACCACCGGCTCTGCACGGCAAACAAATGGTACGCTGGTGCCAGAGGCAACGCTGCCGCTACGGCCACGTTCTAGAGGAAGACGACCCGCACCGTGAAGGGAAGGAGGTGGTTTGGAAAATAGGGTCGGCTTAGATGACGACGACGGCGAGGCGGTGTTAAGCAGGCGAGATTCCCGAAACGTGCATCGATTCTGGCGACGGTGCTCTTCTTGAGAGGGGCTGGCCCTTCTCCCGGTGGCGTGGGGAAACAACAACGGCAACCGGGAGGATAGGGGCATCGAGCCGTTGTTCTCATAGTGGCGAAACCCCCGAACCCTCGTGGCTGAAAATGAGGAACGATTGCTGCTGTGCACTATTAGTGTTGTTCTCTCACGCCCCCAGCCTTGAAGGCTCTAGTCGGCGAGCGCGGGCGCGGCGAAGGGCAATGATGGGTCTCATAACCGTTCTTTCTGTCAACAGGATACTTCGTCGGTGTAGTTGATGGTGTAGTTGAACGTTGTTGTTCCCTCCCGACAAGAAGCAACGCCAGTGATTCTTCGCGGCAAACTCTTGTGAGACCATCTTGCTGGACTAGGTATCCGCGGTGCCTGCGCAAGTTTCGAGTATCTGGAGAATCGCCTGGAACAAAATCTACTCTCCGTTCTTCTCGGTGAACTGGTGGAGCTCTTAACTGTCCCTGCCTGCCCGAGGTCTGCTCAGGCCCTTAAGAAGAGTACCTCCGATCTTTGGCACGGGTTCATCGTTTCTCGAGAGGTCGCTGGGTCCTTCCTGCTCCGCTAAACTTGATTGCTCTAAATTGGCCACGCTTCAGGTGGCGATACGCCGAATTTATCGAAAACACACAGAACGCGATACCCAATAAGCACTCCACCACGCCAATGTTTTCTGAACGTGATCGCTTTTCGTAGTCCGTCGCGGCCGGATGCCGAGTGTTGCTGCATTGGGCAAACCTGGACCAGAGCACAAAGAGCCAAACTTCGAGTGAACCCAGCTCGTGAAAATGACTCGCGAAACCCGGTTTACTGCTACATCGCTATAACCAACGCGCCGGTGGCAAGTAGCGCTGCTTGGGGGCGAAAACGTTGAATCCCAAAGCAAGCACAGTGAAGAAGGCAAGCACAGACGAAATCGAGGCGACAAAGAACGTACTCAAGCCTGCCCGGTTCCCTGCGACACGAGACAAAGGGCGCCCCCCGCTCGATCGCTCCCACGTTAATCAGAACGGTGTTCGATGGCACCGGGTCGTGCTGTACACAGTAGCAGTACAATGCGATTGTCAAGACAGAACATTTGGCGACCTGCCCTCCCTTGGCTTCAAAAAAGCCGATCACACACCGAAGTACAACAACCGTAGGAGGCAGACCCAGAACCACACAAAGGCAACATCCAGAACAACATCATCATCATCATCAACAACAACAACAGAGATGAAAGGCGTGGGTGTCCTGCAGCCTGCTAGTAGTCACTCTTTCCTTGCAGCCTGGACTACATGCACCTTCCGGGTTGCCGCCATACTTTCGGTTGTAGAAGTCAATACGAAAAACCACAGCAGTGCTGACCCGCGCCAAGTGCATACTGACTCACCCTCCGCACCACTTCAACCAGCAAAAATAACGCACATTGTAGGTGGCACTGCAACAACCGCGAATGAGGTACATGTACAGACAAAAATTGACCCGGCGAAATTTATTCAACTCGTGGAGAAATCAAGCTTCCGAGAACAACGAAACAGGGTACAAACCGAACGAAAAGACCTGGAAGCGAAAACCCCACCTTCGAAAAACGAAATTTCCTTAACCAACGAGCTCGTGTAATCGCTTTCACGGCTCTGGGTCTGCGGGTCTTAAAGCTCTTTTCCCTCGGGGCCAACGTGTCTCTTCTTCAGCCAAATATTTTCTCATTTCCTCGTATTCATTGTTTTCGTGCGAAACGTCACCATTCGTTCCGGATCAAGAACCCATGGATGCCACGTCTCTGAAAATCGCCGCCTCGGTGTCGCGGCACTTTTGCTCGTCCGCCGCGGCCTTGATGTTCTCCACCAGCATCGCAAACCCTTGGACGAGGGCGTCTCGCTCCAGCTGCCAAGATCGTTGGCAATGAGAATGAGACGAAGGAGACGAACATGAAGCAACGCGATAGAGCACAACAACAATTAGATCTTCAGTTATCGGGGTGCGCGCGCTGCCGCATGGTGTTGGTTATTTGCACTCATACTCAGAAGAAAGAGAGGAACGGATTTGTTTCGCCTACCTCGCTTGCCGCCTCGAAGCCCATGGAGACGGACGGGAAGCACAGGGAGAAGCACGAGTCCTCGGGGGCCGACTCGCCGGACCCGATGATCAGGGAGTCAGAACCACCCTTACCGGTCTTCGGAGGAGCAAGCAGATCGAAAAGTATTTTGTGAATAGGGCAGGCAGCAAAGAGTAGTAGTGGAAACAATGTTCATATACGACAACTTGACTCAACGTAGCAGAAAAAAACAGGATTGCGCAGATTGTAGGGCGACAGAGTACATCAGCGTGTTGTACAATCCAAACGTTCACCTTTTCCCAAGCCCGACTAATGCATGTTATCATTAGGCGAACCTGTGACCACATCGGTTTGTGTTTAATTCGAAGCGTAGAGATGGTGCGATATAAGATAGCGGTCAGGGTACCTGACAGTGTAAAAAATTCAATTCACCAACACCTACAGTAAATTGGGCTCGACAAAGATCTGTCAGGAAAGAGAGGGGAGTGGGCGTATATGCTTGTTCGGACATTTTTGTGCACAAGCACGCGGTTCATAGCGTCATAACACTTGGATTTTTTCGTCGCTTGTATCAGATAATCGATGGACCGTATCGCATGCGAGAGGATGCAAGAGAGAAATACACGGCGCAGGTGGGTTGGTAGAGATACTCAAAGTTGATTGTCTGCCTGACCATACATGACCATACACCTCTGTCGAGACGAAGCATCGTTCCATGAATTCGTTCAGGTATGGTCAACGGGTTGCTATTTCCCTCTCCCTCTCCCTTTCCACACCCCCCTCTACCGCCCCACCCTGTTCCCCTCCCCAATTGTGTTTGTATTTTGTCCGAAGCACAGAACCCCTTGCCTATCATACACAACTATTTTGATCGTCGAGGTTGTTTTCTCCTAATGGTGCTGTGATAAAATGGATGGTCGGTATCATATGTATATCTTCCCCTAGCGTTGTCCTCTCAGCCGCTACAGCGATACACACCTGCACGCTAGTCACGCCTCCGAGGCTCTGCTTGTGCCACTGCTTCGAGCCGATGGCGCGCTTCGAGGACCACACCAGCGTGTCGGCGCCCTTGAGCCAAAGGGTGGTCTTCCTCGCCCGCTTGGACGTTCGGTGGATCTTTATCGGGAGTCCTATTTTTCGTTTCGGGAGGGGCGTGGGTGTCGGGGGGACGAGGGGTGCAGAAAATGACCTCACTTAAGAACTTTGGATGTTAAAAAATCGAGCCTAAAATATCAAAATTTTCGAAGCACCAATCGTGAGCTCGGTTGAGAATCCCTGAAATAAAACCTACACGGAGTATAGCGGCCATGCATAGCATGACCTTCCGCCCCTAGAACATCCTCGGCAGCCAAAACTAGAGGTTCTGAAGCGCGGGTGCTTTCTGTATACGGGGGCGGCGATGGGGTTCAAAGAGAAGCACAGATAGTCGAATGAACTGAAGGGTGCGTGTGTGTTGAGGTAGGTTGCGAATCACAGTAATGGAGATGTCCGGGAGATGTTCGTAGGATCTATTCTGGTACAGAAACAACTCGTGTTTCGCCACACGCGTGTCTATCTTGAATGTGATTGAGGGTTAACGCGCGTGATCAAGGAAACTTTTGTCATAACCTTGAACGATTTAGTACGGATGTTCTGGTAGCTGTGAAGAAGTCAGAACGGTTTGTTGATACGAACACAGCAATGGCAACAGCAACCAGTGAGAAGAAAATCCAACTCGCCCTCTGATAAGACTTCCATGAAGGTGCCCAGCAATGCCTCGTCTGCCGCGCTGAGGGTGGTGGGGGCAGCCGAAACAGTCGTCTCCCTGCTGCCGGCGTCGCTATCGCCGAGGTCGCTGCCACCAGCAACTTGGATGACATCTGCAAGGGTTATGCAAGACAGTATTGCATGCATACACGACAGAAACGCAAAAACGTTGAGGAAAAATGCTCTGCTCCTCGTCCTGAGTCTCGGACGCACGTTTCCTCTCAGCCAAAGGCAACAAGATCTAACCTAAAATATCTCTATCTAGTTACTGTTTGCGGCGGGAAAAACACACACACACAACGACTCACATCACCTAACCACCATCACTAAGAAAAGGGAAAAGACGTGTTCAAATTAGCGCTGACATGGTAACCGCAAGGAGTTGTTCAGGGAAAGGCACGCGTTGATAATAGCGAGCTGGATGCTTGGAAGGTCAAGGTTCGACATGATATGACGATGCTATCAGACCCCGCCGGTGTGAGTTGTCCAACTTGACGACGGCGCTATCCTCCACTGCTACGTCCTATTCCACAGGGGTCGGACATTCGTTGTTCACTGCTGGTGTCCTGATGCCGCTCAGAGGCGTGTGATCTTTACGGCTGTTTCTCCACGTACTTTCCACGTCTATGCCTGCCCAATCGCCCGTGGTGTTCTTCCTACCTCCCTTTCGTTCTTCGTCGTCGTCACTGTCGCTGCCGGCGAGGGCGAGCTCCCCCGCCGACGAGGACCGCGGCGGCCTCTCAGTCCTGCTGCCCAGCAGAGGGGAGTCCTCTCGGGGCGGGGATGGAGGCCCGCCCGTCGAATCGTTGGATATGAGAAACGAGCGCCTCGACAAGGGCCGGGGTCCTCCGCCTTTCCCAAACTTCGTCGCGCTGCTGTTCCCGCCTCCACCCTCACTCGTTCCGACGCCCACCCGGTGCCTCCGTGTCGATTGCCGCCGTTCTTCCGGACTCAACGATTGTTGCGTCCGCCTGACCTCTGCCATTCGCTCGGCGAGCACGCTTGGTGGCCTCGCGAGCCGCCGCTCCTTTTTTTAAGCGAAAAGGACGTCGATGGTGCGTTAAGGCGAATTTGTTTGGTGAGAGAGACCGGGGCACACGCGCGCCGGGGGTGGCGGGGAGGGATATTGTGCGCAGATCCGTTGATCTGGTGTAAAGCAAGTTTGTCGCCTTTTGTACGTACGCATATGGTGGGGATCAATTCATGGAGGGGGAGCGGCGGTTCAGGCCTACGGCTTCGCGTATGACGCGGGTTTGCCCAAGGTCCTCTTTGCCGCTAGAGAGCTAGAGAATACATACACAGGCTTACACTCGTTGACTTCTACGTGTTCATGGCCTGGCTACTTGTACCTGACCGAGAGAGCGACAACACACCTTGTGTCAAAAGAGTGTTTCATACTCGACGCAGCGACCGTATGCAACGGAAGCAATCGTCCCTCCACGTACGCCATTATTTTGGCATGGTATGGAACTGCTTCCAAAGGAATACTCTGTAGAATCCTGGGACCCCGAATGGAGATTGGGGTGATGCGGTTCCATAGGAGGAGTAGGATACAGAAGTATTACGTGCACTCTGGCGTTGCCGGACAGGGCAATGGGTTGCACGGGTTCCCGCGAGTGGTGGGTTCGCATGGGATGGTTGGGTTGCAAGACAGCATCATTTGCAAGTGCAAATGACCGAATGGCGAGAGGAGTGGAACAAAAACTTGATTAAATTCGGTGGAAACTAGGTTACGTGATCTGCACCTTTTGGAGTAGTTACGTGATTTCCTAATAGCTTTGCGCGGATACGATCTTGTTTTGTGCAAGTTCATGCTTGCTCGTGGAGAACGAAACGCTCTTGGGGCCACCTACATCGTTATCTTCCCCATGCCTGGTGATACTCTAACCCAGGCGAGTGGACAGCCTCATACACCAACTTTTGCTGACAGGGGCACTTTGTTGCGGTCGCAACAAAGCTAACCTACTTACCTCGATGCAGTTTCATTGCGGGAAGTGTCATGGACAAGCGATTGTCTACTCAGAGAACCGGAGGACGAACAGAAGAAGATCTTGACGCGCCACCGACACAGGACCCTCCCCTATACATATCAGCCCACCACAGCAGAAGCTGATGTGTGGGTTTGCAGAAGACGAACTGGTGCTTCTATTCGTACGGATTCACACCTCATATACGGTTGCGCGTAAAGATCCGCCAAACAAGAACGCTAACTACAGGACGTTCTGAACCATGTCCACTCCGGCTCACATACCTGGCTCGGCTCGGATTCGGCGAGTACGCTGCGGCGAACAAGGAAACCTCCACCGGCCGCTAGCGCCACCAAGCCGAAGATCAACAAACACACGACCATGATCCCGTCTGGCACCGGATCGGATGCACACTCTCCGCGAAGTCCCGGAATATCTATGAAGTGTAGCTGTAGTCTAGCCAGGAAACCTTTGATCCCAATTACTTCCTCCAGCTGTATGCGCGGGTTGTTTAACGCCAACGGCGTAGCGATCGTCAATCGTTAGACACCGTCGACTCGGCTTACTAGTGCTTTGTCATGCAAATCCTTACGCGACGAACACGATAAAACGTATCGCAAGCCCGTGGAGGAAAATATACCCACGATGCTCGGATCGTCTGCAGAAAATAGCACCGGGGGCACCCTGCCGACGATGTCGAGGTCCGTCCGTGTTGCAGCCACACCCAGCGCCCAGCACCTGATCAGCACTTCACAGACACCTGATTTGTATCAGCTATATACACGGCGTGCGCAAAGGCAACGCGTGATAATAATTTGTTCACTCTTGTGTGACCGTTTGTGGTCCCTGCACTCTCTTGGCAGCTTGACTATTTACAGATTTACAGCAGTGCACCCAGACGGCCATCAGCCAAAGATATTGAGTGTAGTGCGGTTGCCGTTTCGCCCGACCAGATATGGAAGCGGTGCCTGTAACCCCTCCCCCCTCCCATGCCGATTTCGAGCTCGGTCGCGTCCTCCCTCATGTAATTTACCATCACTGCCTGAAAGCCCTTGTGTCTCACGCTGCGTGTTTACCTCCCCCGCCACACGACAACACGATGAAGTTCTCCACCGTAGCTGCCTCGTTATGCGTACTCGGAAGCGCCTCGGCGTTCGTGCTGCCGGTGCCAGCTAGGTCTGGTGAGTCGGAATTACCATGTGTCGAACGTGCTCTCTCGTGCGCGATTTGGGGACTGCAGCTGTGAGGTTGTTGTTGCTGGTCTGTTGTTCATGCAGGGTAACCCCTGCCTGCTCGGAATACCAGCGCTGCTGTCTCGGCCAGTCGGGCTTGTGTGGTGTGTCATCGTCTCATGTCACCTGGCTGCGCCCGAGCTGTGCGCTTTTGGGGGCAGTGACGTAGGCGATCGTTGATGGTTTTGATTTGCTTGCACCCGCTGATTGCACACGCGCTGCTGACAGCGTACATTGCAAGTACGGATGCAGCGGGGGGGTGGGCATATCCCACCCCCCTCCCAATCCAACTCGTCGGCTCTGCGTTCGGACTGTTCGCGTACGAACTAGCTCTCGCCGATTATGTGTCTGGTATGCGAAAGAAGCCTTGAGGCCTTTCCGTGGTTGGACGCTGTGCCCGTTTGGGATCGTCGCCCTTGTGTGCATGTTGGTCGAAGTCTCTCAAACGAAGACGACAGATTTTGTGGTAAAAGCATGTTTTGCAGAGTAGGACTGGAAAGTGTGTGCGTATACGGCGTAAGGCGGCGACCTACTTTGCGAATTCCCATTCCAGCCTTACGTATCGGACAACTGCGCAAATCCCGCGCGTCTACCACACGTAGTCCTGCTTCCAGAGAGGCGGTTGTTGCCTGTTGTTGCCTGGCTGGGTCCGTTAGTCTGCCGTACTCTCACGCTTTTTTTTCCTGGGCGACTAATGGTGAATACAGGTTTCGTTTGGTTGTTTGAAGTTGCGGTCAGCTTTGTGCAAGCACACCCAAACTTTGCTGTTGTACTGCTGCTGATGATAGTGAGGGTGAAATGCAGGGCTCATGGTATTTTTGGTCTTGTGTCCTGCTCCGCGCGGCCAGCACAATCAATCAAAGTAGTAAATTGTAGAAGGAGCTATGACGTGCACAGCTGCGATACCGCCGTTCTAAAATCAGTACAAGAAACTGCTGTAAATCGTTTATTATTTTTTATTTTTCTTTATTTGACAAAACGAGTCCATCTCTATCATAGAAAAGAGTTATGCAAGCATGTTCCTTGCCGTCACGAAAAGGCACATCAACAGGCGACTAACGGTGCCACAACGGACCGTAGGCTTGTCTTAGCACCCCGAGCAAAGACATACAAAATAAATTGACCTTTTTTTTGTTCTTGGTGACAACTGAGTGGAGACTCTCCACTCGTATGACCGGAAACCCGTCGAAATTTCAACTGCGGACGGACGGACGGAAATAGGTGTCTGTTTTTGCGATTGCTGCGTTGCCGCGCTTCGTCGTGTAGTGTTGCGTCATCCACACACCCCTGCCCTTGTTTTACCTTGATTACCTTTTATGGAGTTGGCTAAGATTTCAATTGCGGTGCGATCTCGTTTCCTGGGCTGTGCCCCCACCCCACCCTTCAGAGTTGTGGCTGTGGCGAGTTTGGTTGCAATGGGGGTTGCTTCTATGTTGGCCTGCCTCAGTGTTGGCCTTGAGTTTGTGACCCCCGCAGATTACGCCTCTTGAGCTCTCGTAAACTCTTGAGGTTGACTCTTGATTTCTTTCAGCGTGTCCGCGGTCTGGGCCTGAATACGTCAACCAACGTCCGCGTTTGTTTTGCTGATCATGAATATGTGTTTCTCCTTCCTCCCTCGGTCTGTGTCTTTGCCGTGACCGTCGCAGGCGTTGCAACTCGGATGTCGGCTTCCCTTGACGAGGCCGCGGCGGAGAAGGCCAAGGCGCGCGAAGCCCTCATCGGATCAGCGGGTATGGAGCAGTTGATCAAGATGGTCGCACAAGACGATGGCGAGGTGAGGAGAAACAGAAAACACTAGATGCAAGTCACAACAGCAGCCTCGGTGATGGATGTTTGTCCCCGTTGGGAACAACAGCAGAACAGTTGGAGCGCTTGTGATCGCACGAATGAATCCGAATGAATCCGTCGGTTCCGTGTAAAATGTCCCACTTGGAAGGACCAGCCAGTTGTGACCTTGATCTTTTTTCGGTTGTGGCATCTTGTCCTGGTATGCGGTGGGAAGAGGGGCAGCGTGTGCCCCTGGCATCAATGAGCCGCCACAGCACTAGTGCGGTGTGTTGGGCCATGAACGAGGGAGCAGCGTGGACGGGTAGATGAACAGAGGGGTAGTAACAGTCACCGGCGACGCCAGAGCTTTTGTACAGAGCGGGGGTAGACGCCTGCTGGTGGACGCCTCTAGTGGCTCTCGATCCTGAAACTCTGTTTCGCCTCCCAAACTGACTAGCTGCTCGCCTGTGCGATTCATGTACCTATGATTCATCGTCGATACACAATCGCACCAGGTTGAGAATCGCCTCAATACGTACGGCCCCATTGCCTGAGGTGTTGGACCTCTATGACACCAGTACTGTACAAGCGAGCAGGCACTGGCTCTTGTCATCAGATTTGGTCTCGCCAGAGGCGCGTACGCACATGCTGTCGTAGCGCAGCGTCGTCTCGGTTCATTGTGAAACAGTCGAGGTTGAAGATCGACGTGCGTGCATGTGTTTGTCGCACAAAAATTCCTATTTATGATCACGCTTTGTCATACGATTGTCGCCCAGCACGCTACCAAGGCCAAAAAAAAAAAGACGCGATGCGAGGAAAACGTCGTTCGAAGCAGGAGGGTCGTGGAGCGTTGCCTGTACGGCATTCCAACGCTTCGTGTTCATTACCGCTGAACATCCCGCTGAAAATCAACCCACTCCGTTTCCCTTGCTTATTCCTTGAATCATTTCAGGACGAAGAAGTCCCCCCCGCCAAGGCGGCGCCGCCTACCCCGGCCTCGCCACCGGCCGAAAAATAGTTCAAATTAGACGTCCATGCCGCTACTACTGCTATCATCGCTGGTGCCATGGTTCCGGTGCTGCTGCCGCAACGCTGCGGCGGATGCTCTGCTGCTGGTGCCTTGAAACCACGCGGTGGTGGTCAGGACGTACAAACATTTTTTCTTGAACGCCGGCGGCGTTTTTGATACGGGGGCGGAATCGACAGGAGGGTGAACGGTGCAGCAGTCCAATTCATCCTTCGCAATTCTGCATGGCGTGCATGCAGTGACTTTTTTTCAATTTCATAGACTTGGNGGGGGGGGGGGGGGGGGGGGGGGGGGGGGGGGGGGGGGGGGGGGGGGGGGGGGGGGGGGGGGGGGGCATGTGGACCTTGGAGTTCGTCTTTCTTGAGGGGAATTTTGTAAAAGTTGCAGGTGTCTTGTTTCAGCTGTTAAGGCGTGTTGATGGGGCTGACCTAGCTCGCGCGAAATCCTTCCCGGAAAAGAGGATACAAGGAAAGGACTGGTGAATAGAACAGAAAATATATCTCTTCCCCCCCCCCACCCCCCCTCCTCTGGACGTGATGCGTTCTAAGCCGGGTGCCCCCTGGGCTTGGGGGAAGCCAGCACTCTTGATGATTACGAGCAGGGGCTGAGGGTTATATGTGTTTCGTTGTCATCGGGCCGGGTCGTTCGAGCGGCAAACGTCTTCTTTATGCCTTGTGACGGCCGGTGTCGGGTGGAAGGCCGGTCGGTATAGAGATTAGAGTACGTGTGCGCAGAAGGGACATGACAGCGAGTGGTTTCGTGACGATGAGATTTTTTTCTCCATCATCGTTTTGTTCAAAAGAAGAGCCACCAACAAATTCATTTTTATCGGACCGACTGCAGCAAGTCTCTTATGGACACAAGCTGAGCTCGTCCGCGGCCGTATCATGGTGCTCCCCCACGCACAACGTCTGCGTGTCCTGCGCGAAAGCCTTTTCTTTGTTCTGCAGCCGAGAACATGATTGCAAGGCGGCGACGGCGAGATGGTTGCGCAACCAGTTGTCTTTCCTGACAGACCAATTGGACGTATGTGCGCATGCAATTGTGTGCAGGAATAACCCGATTTCGGCAATTCGCTGCCGGATTCTTGGAGCTTGCCCGCTCCCCGTTTTGGCGCCCTGCGAAGTATCATCAGCTGTCGTTGGGGCTTACTGGCTGACTTCAAGACTAGACTACAAGCCACTTCCCTTCTGTAGGACGCCCATACGTTCATCTGAGTTACATCGTTAAGAGGTGCATACATACGTGGTTTTGGGCGAGGCAAGTCAAACGGTTGAGCGAGGATCCTATGACGTGCATTACGTGGCCTGGCGGGAGGCCATTATAGCAGACACAACGGTTGAGGGACGCTCAATGCCCTCCATTATCGGATACAGCAGTAGACTATGCCGGGTCTCACCGCTCATTGTTGGCGAGCGAAGATACTACAACGCAGTAAAAAAACACCGACGTTGTCTTCTTGAAAAATTTTTATGTAAGGCGTACGAAATTTGAGCTCAGACACCGGTACTATTCGGTAATTGTAGCTCAGTAGGTATTGCCTCTATGCTCAACCATGTTGAGACACGGCAGCCGCACGCAGTCACGGCGCGCAGCAGCAAAGCACACCTTCATCGTTCTTTCCGGATTTTTTTTTTTTTGGTTCAAACTGGAAACGCACACGTCATGTCTCGGCCTCTGCCTTTCGTAATGTTCATTTCACCAAATTCCACACACACCAGTCCTCCTTGAAGAAGGCCCGGCACCTCCACCCGCAGAGCTGTGTCCTGACCGAAGACCAGCCACGCCACCAAGATGAAGCTCTCCGTGTTCCTGGTGCTCCTCCCGTCCGTGTCGGCGTTCGTGTCGCCGAAGCCGGTCGTGTTGAACAACCACCTGCAGCGGCAGCAGCAGCAGCAGCAGCAGCAGCAGCAACGCTCGTCGACGCCGACCGCTGTAGGTGCGTGGAAGCAGGCCAACGGCGAGGGACCGTGGTCCATTGCCACGCTGTGGCGCGACGTGGTCGGCCCGGCGATGAACAAGGCCAAGGTCGACTCGACGGTGAGTAGTGAGAAGAGATCGATAGGGCCGTGAGGTTTGTTTGTGTTCACGCGACCGGCCGTGGTTTGAATCAGACTCAAAAAGAGTATTTTCGGGGGCTAGCCTAAAACAGCAGTACGTACACACCATCTGTCGTTCTGTCCTTTTTTGCGGATCGGCCCTGCCTACCCAAACGGGCGATTTCCACACCATGCCACCTCTGCGTCTGTAACGCGCGCCCACAGGCTGCTGTTGTCGTGCTTGTTACCCTTGCTGCTTTGGTGGTGTGCTCGAACAGACCTCCCCCTTACTTCCATCATGCCGTATTCCTAAAAATGTCACGTTGGGTTCTCTGAATTTTTTTTTGCGGGTGTACACGTTGCCAACCGATGGTGTTGTGCTAGATGATGGTGTATCATGCGTTTGTCCGAGCGACCCGCGGGTTACACACGATGGCAGCGGCCGCCCCGCCTCGCTTCCCTCTAGCTTTCGCTCATGTAGTTTACCGCCTGTGCATCTGCTGCGCTGATGCTGCACACCCGGTTCCATTTTTCGGAGCGAGCGTTGACAACGCCGATCGATGTGCTCTTTCTTCCAGAATAGGTTGAAAACCAACCGCCTTTCAAGAAGGCGGAGTGCTGGCCCAGTATGGCCTCTAAATATGTTTGCTTTTGCGCCCACCCCTTGGCGCTCTGCCCCCCCCCC